ATTAGTAGACAGGTTACTGATGACAGTGTTACAGATACAATTAGTAAGCGGGGATGTGGGACAGGGTGTGCAGATGGAAGGAGTTCAGACCCCTCATTTATCACACTTTAGAGCTATTTCTTTGTAGCCCCAGGCTGCAAAGCATCAAAGCAACTGAGAGAAAGAGAGAGTGAGAGAGAGACCAACAGCAATAACAACACAGTTTGCTCACGCGCTCAGCACTTGAGGGATCAGGAGGAATTTCAGGTGTTGAGAGGGATCGAGCCCCAGTCCCCCACCATCGCGGGCCAGTGTTAGCCGGGTTAATTACAGCTGCACTTGGCTCCTGTTGAGAAGCTTCGAAGAGAAGCCACAATTTAATTAGTTTGTCGGATAAATTTTTTGTTGAACATCAAATGCACCTTGTGAGCGAGCGCTGTAGCGAATAGGTCTGAACAGGTACCAACACAAGTAGAGACAGTTTGCTCCACCGCACTCACATCCTACGCTGTCAGCTCTCCAAATCACTCAACACAAGATGATAATGTGACTCTCCAAATAGCTTCCAATCACCAGGAACGGTGACTGCAGAATTCAGGGAAAACAAACATAAAAGCCTTCATAAAAATAGCATCTGGAGTGGTTCATTTTCTGGCTGTTTGCGGGGACGTTGCTGTGCACACACTGGCTGCCATGTTCGCCTACGAAACACAGTCACTGCACTTTACGGTAAATTCTGTGAAGCGCTGTGAGGTGTCCTCCCAATGTGAAAGACTAGTATCTAATGCAAGGATTATTAGTATTTATTATAACTATAGTACATGTCCTCGGCACAAGCTGCCTCCACCCTCCCTGAGCTGAGGTCAGGTCACTGTGTTAGTGATCTCACTGATAGCTGAGCAAGAAGCCCCGACACGGCCTATATGTACTGCACGATATACTGTATCAGCCCCCAGCCCAAGAGCAGAGGGACCTGCTATTCTATGCACTGCAAATATATCCCACAAATAGCCACAAAGTGAAGGAGAGATTAATTTGGGGAGGATTGTCGGCCAGGACATCAGGTGAAACTCCCATCTCTTTTCCTACAGCGCAGCGGGATCTTTAACATCTGCCTGAACAAGTACAGCCATGACCTCAGTTTAACGTCCATCTGAAGTGCTTCCCGACATCCCCCCCCCACCACCACCACCACCCAGCACCGCGCTGGTGAGTCAGCCTGGACTGTGAGCTCAAGTCTCAACATGCAACGTGACCATCTGAGGCAGAGGCCAGAACATAGCGTTCGAGCCAGTCTGGCTCACGCACGGTGAGGGCAGAGGGACTCTGAGAAACGCAATGTCCTGCGCTGGTGCGCTGCACACACACCCGCGCGGGGTCATACACATCCACAGCTTCAGGCACGTTGTGTCAGGCTGGGGTTTCCCGGGGCCTCTGCCTGCCCTGACAGTGGCAGCCACACAGGTGGTCAAACACTTTTATCCTTCCTGCCGTGGCCGGCTCTCGAGTTACCTCTAAAGTCTGTGAGTCAATCAAATCGCATGTGCTGCGGCACATTAGCCCCAGGCGCCCAAACACCTAGTTCAGAGGAGAGTCAGAGACGTCTAGACGTCTGAAACAAACCCCTGGTATTGCCCCGTGGAACACGAGACATCAGTAACACAAGGCCGTGAGCCTCTAAAGTCAGCCACGTTTGTTTGGTCAACTTTATACAGCTATAATTTACTGCAGTTAATGTTCGGCAGTAAAACTCCATTTGCAAACTTTTCAAAGAATTCTAGAAGTCGTCAAACTTATTTCGGGCTCAATAATAACAATAAATAATAGCCCCCCCAATGATGTTCCAACTCTGAACAAGACGATATGGATAATAACTATAATGGGCAAATAGAGTAGTAAAATTACAGGCTTCGCTGTATTCATTTCAGCGTAAAAAGCACAAGCCCCCACCATGGCCTCAGCAGCTGCTCGCACACACCGCCTGCTCGGCCACACATTTCCTGCTTAAATAATAAGCAAAGCTCGAGAGGTCAGAGTGACAGACCAGCCCCGTCCGGTAGTGAACGGGTAACAAAAGGACACAAGCTCAGATTACACCGTGCCGGGAACCAGTAAAGACGAGGTTAGAGGAAACGTCTGTAACAGTGGTGCAGGCGGGGTCAGGGTGTAGCGTTTAATGCATTGACGACAATGCGGAGACATCCCCTCCTCTCTAGCACCAGCCTGGGAGCCCCTGTCCCCATCCTCACCCGGCTCCACTGGCTCCCCATCCCTCAAAGGATCCACTTTAAATCTCCTTGTCTTTATTCTTTAAAGCACTCCATGGCCTTGTTCCTTCCCGTCTCTGTGACCTCCTAAAACTCTATCGACCTGTCAGCTCCCTCTGCTTGATGGGCACTGGCCTGTTCCACGTCCCCCACCCGGCCCAGCCCACCATTGGGCATGGTCCAGTCTTTAGCTTTTCAACCCCCACCCTCTGGAACTCCATCCCGGAGCCCCTCCTTTACCTGCTTCAACGCGCGTCTCGAGACCTTCCTCTTCAACCTCACCTTTGGTCATCTTCCCACCCCCACCCTCCCTGCCCTCCATCCCTTTTGACCCAAACCCCCATCTCGGGGTGCAAACCCTTGACTGTCCAGCTCCCGACGTGAAAGGCTTGCGTAAATGCAATTTACTGTAGTTGTCTGTGAGCTCAAGAGTCCATGACACGGGGGTGGGGCTCAAACCCATATCTTTTTGGCCCGGAGGCGAAAGTGTGAGCAACTCAACTTGTGATAACGGCAAGTTCAAACTGTGTGAACATTGCCGCAGGCTGTGAGAGATCGGGCACTGAAGAGACACTCTCTGGGTGTAGTATTCCCTACATACCCATCGCATTACACAGCAGCTAGATACGCGAGAGAAACTCGAGCTGCATCACAGCGAGCACCAGACACGGTGATTACAAAGCAATTCCCGGCTAATCTTAGCCGGCTGCCGCAGCCTCTCTGTCCAGTGGTTATATATGTAATATATATATATATATAGAAAATCATAGAGTAATTATATTCCTCACCGCAACAGTGATTAAAAGTTCAACAAAAAGCACAGCGCAGAGACTACCGGCAAAAAGGGTTTGCACAACAACAAGCTGCCATGTTTACTCAATTAATTATTTTCCAGATATATGAACCCCGAGGCAAAGGGGGTCTATACTTAGCGACCGGTGGAGTGGTCAGCAATAGGGTCCCAGGAATAGCCTAATAGTTTTTATTAATAGCCATGCTGATCTGCACACACAGGCCATTCAGCCCTATTCTAAGCCATGTCGTCAGCAGGCCAGCACTGTACACAGCTCACTGAGCCCAAGCTGCGAGGAGGAAGGAGTGACAGGGAAACGGTACACACAGCCAGCGGAAAATATCCCCAGGATTGACATGGGCCTATTTATATTCCGTTTTCTGAATGAAATGGTGGTGAAAAGCAGCGACGAACAGCGATAAACCATGCACCCAGATAAACAGAGCGAGAGAGTGAGTGTGTGCAAAAGAGAGAAAGAAACAGTGAAAGAGAGAGTGAGAGTAAGACTGAGAGTAAGCAATAGAATGTGAGACTAAGAGCAACAGAGTGAGAGTAAGCGAGAAGGTGAGGGAGGGTGAGAGTAAGCGAGAGCGAGAGTAAACCAGAGCAAGCGAGAGCCAGAGCAAGCGAGAGTCTGAATAAGAGATTGTACGTAAGAGAGGGTGAGAGTAACAGAGCCAGTGAGAGTGAGAGCGCGTGTGGGTGAGCGACAGTTAGTGAGTGTTTCTCTGGCTGAGAGTGGCTCACTGATGCTTTCCATGAAATCACATGGTCAGACAGCTGACTGTAAACCTACAAACCTCAGCTGAAAGCAGGAAAAACAGTCCCCAAAACCTCTGGACAGCCACATCTGGTTGTAATTTGACTGTAATGAACCACTTGTTTCTAGACAAGAGAAACTCTACAGGGGGCCATTTACACTACAAACTACTTATTATTAATCAGCACAGTGCTGGATGGGCTTAACCCTGTGTTGTTACAGAGAGGCCACAGAGAGAGCCCTCACAAAGCAGCCACAGCTCAAATCCAAACCCTCCTTCTCATCAGGCTTTTATTGTGAATTAAAGCGAAGCTCGAGATTAAGCCTCTCGCTGTCCTTCAGCACCTTCACCTAGCAAGCCGCTGAGCCAGTGCGGCAAGGAGAGAGATCACACACCTCCCAGGGCAATGTGTGACCGGCAAGGGGATAAGGGGCGGGTGAGGTGGCTGAGAGCACAGTGGAGATGTTGTACAGGAGTGTGTTTTAGAGGGCGAGAGAAGGAGGGAAAAGGAGAGAGAGAGAGAGAAGGCATCTCGGCCGGGGATGAGGGAGAGAGAGAGAGAGAGGGCGTTGTGCCCCAGGACGATGGGTGAGAGGGAGTTGCACACAGGGATGAGGAAGGGGAGTGAGACCCTGGGAATTACGAAAGCAGTTCTGCCTGTGGATCCTTAACCTCCCCTCACAACCGCTGTCGCCCCCAGCATCCCCCGCCCCAGTCACCCCCATGGCCCCTAATTGACGTAAGCCTTGTACCAACTCTTCTCAGCCCTTTATCATTGGTCTGAAAACAAGCTGCTCCACTCACTGCCTGAGATGAGAAGCAGATGTGGTGCTGAGAGCCAGTGCTGGAGTCAAGCTCTGCAGCTCTGAGAGAGAGAGAAAGAGAAAGAAAGAGAGAGAGAGAGAGAGAGAGAGAGAAATCCCAGGAGAAACAACAAGATGTTGCTGGGTAAAGGAAGCCAAACAGTAAACCAGAGGGGACCAGATGAGGCTGGAGAGGTCCCGTTTGTAACCTCTGGCTCCACATCACTATCCTCTCCTTCAGCAACATCTGGCTTCACAGCCCGCTGCTGTCCTCCACCCTGTCCAGCTTTATAAAATAATCACTGTGTCTAAAACAAGGGGAAAGAGAGGCGGAGGAGAGAAGGGGAAGGAGAGGGAGGGAGGGAGGGAAGTGGGAGGAAAGTGAGCGATAGCATACCTCCGCGGCCTGAGTTTCCTGGTGTAACAGTGTCAGACCGGTCAGATCCTCCAGGAAGGAATGAGAAGAGTTGAAGACGTTAGCCAGGAACTGGAATCCTTCTTTCTCATAGTGATCCAGGACCTGTAAGAAGACAGCGACCATTAATATTGTAATCTTTCCATCTGACACAACCACCGGCTTTACATAGACAAACACTCAGCTATGGGTCAAGGCAGCCGGCTTCATGTCAATCTTACTGTCCATTTGTATTGTATAAAGTGAATAACTACTACAACAACGACAACAAATTGCATTTACGCGGCACCTTTCACGTCGGGAGGACATCCCAAGGCGCTGGACAGTCGAGGGTTTGCATCGGAGCTGGGGACTGGAATCAAGAGGGATGGAGGACAAGGAGGGGTTGGGGGGTAGATGACCAAAGGCACGGTTGAAGAGGAAGGTCTTGAGTAAGAGATTTGTCTGGAGGGTTGTTGTAAAGGACATGAAGAGACTACCATCGCTTCTCCAATAGATCTTTTAACATCCACCTGAACAAGAGCTGGGGACCTCTGACAACCCAAAACTCCCCCACCACTGCGCTGGAGCCTGGACTGGGAGCTCTCATTCCCCGATGGGGTTCAAACTCACATACTCCTGACCCCAAGGCTAGAGTGACTGAGCCCGTTGCTTTACTGTGTCTGGAACAAGTGGAGGGAGCATTGGAACAGAAAGCAGAGCTCAGACACGTCTCGTCTGATCCCGCGAACTCACTGCTGATTTCACCCTCATTTGTTTCCACGGGGTTTAAAAACCACACAACAGCTGAGCTCAGTTACAGCGGCTGCAAAGCCTGCTTCCACTTCCCTCATTAAATCACATTCAAAGGCCGTTCAGAGAACTCTGGTGTCTGAGGCAGCCTCGACCAGCCCAGAGCATCTCAAAGGCCCCACAGGGGCCCCCACAGAGAATGGCTGCTGTAGTGAGTGTAGTGACTGTTATTGGTGGGATTGTAATGAGAAATCTGAAGACGAGTAAAGATATAAAGTCAAGAAGAGGATTTGTGTTTTGTAGCTTCAAAGTGTCTCAAAGAATTTTACAGGGAGTTACTGTCAACTGTAGGAACTCACTCCACACACACACAGACCAACACAAACATACAACACACATACACACACCGACACACACACAGACCAATACAAACACACAGACCAATACAAACATACAACACACACACACCGACACACGCATACACACAGCAATACACATACACACCGACTAAACACACACACAGACCAAAGCACACAAACATACAACCCAACCAACACGCTCACAGACCAACACACACACATATACACAAAACATTGCATTAACTTTCACGCACACAGCCAATCCCCCTTTAATTGTAAAACAAAATTTGGTTAAAGTAACAAGTTGTAGTTGACAGTGTGTCCTCAGGCCACCAGCACTGGCTCCGAGAGGCCTTAAAACAAAGCCTGTTGTACACAAGCCATCTGATCCACGTACCCAGAGCAAGCTCCCAGGCCGGTCAGACTGTGGCTCAGGCTCAGCCCGGCTCACATTACCAACTGGCAAAATCAAAAGCATCGAGAGGGCGAGAGGTGCCTGCCTACCCACGGGGCAAACACTCACACCAATCAAGAGGGACAGCAGCCGGTAAATAAGAGAGACGCAAGAGAGAATTAAGAACAGCACAAACCAAGCCTCGTATTCTTTGAACTTTGTTTATGTCTCTGCTCTTTACAGGAATTTAAGACTTTGACTGCAAAATCTTATTAGTTGCAATATTATTGAAACCAGACTTAGACTCGGGTGATGGTGGATGAGAGAACGCAAAAGATTTGAGATTCTTGGGCTGGATTGATGGCTCCCATTACAGCTGTGTAACACATAAACTAACCCATTACACACGTGTTCATGTAAACTGACCCGCTACACATGTGTTTACATAAAGTATCGCATTACACATGTGTCCCATGGAAAGTAAACCATTACGTGGTGAGGAGGGGGAGGGTGTTGCTGTCCGGGACCCCAGGAGAAACTTCCCTCTCTGGTATCTTTAAAGACCCCCTGAACAGAGCACAGTTGGGACCTTGGTTTAACAACTGATCTGAAAGACAACACCTCCAAAGGGCAGCGCTCTCTCCCTCAGCACAGCACCGTAATATCGGCATTGACTGTGAGCTCAGAGGCCCCAATGTGGGGGCCTGAACCCACAATCTTCTGGCTCAGAGCTGAGGGTGACTGAGCCAGGCTGACACTGAACAGGAAATGTTCAACGTCGCTCTTGACCAGGAGGTTCGTCAGACACAGACCACACAGAGAAAGCGTTTTGACCTCATCACGTCAAGCAGCGAACACACAGAATAGCTTTTAAACAAAAATGGACGTGTTTCCAGCCAGATCAGTAACTGACTTGCTGCTGTCCTCTGGTGGACATGGAGTTGATCACATTTATAACAAATGTCAGTATTTGTGTTTGAGCAGCAAGTGGCTGGGAGGTCAGGGCGGCGGGGGGGTGGGTGGGACAGTAGGGGGGGGCAGACACTCACTCACCACGGCGGAGCAGGCTGTGCACTTGTCGAAGGCCAGGCTGGCCGGCAGCACGTTGTCAAACCTGGATACAAAGCCCCGGATCTGAGAGAGGGAAAAGCAACGAACATCCATTGGTTTGTGACCGTACATTATAAGCGCTCCGAGACGCTGCCACGCGTGGAGGGCGCTATATAAATGCAAGTTGTTGTTGTTATGTGAACAGCACAGCAATGTACCCACCCAATCTATCAGAGTCAGGATTTGCTCCACCAATAAAGCCATCTACCCCCACATCCCGTTCCCCTGCTCCTTCTCAAACAACAACTTGCATTTAATTACGGCTGCGTCCCAGAGCGCTGAAGAACTCCAGTAGTTTTACAGCTCCTGATTTCATCAAGTGTAGTGACTGTGTGTTTCTAGGCAAAAAAGCAGGAACCAATTGGGGATCAAGGTCAACCCCTTCGACTTGAAAACGCAACACAGACGGGAGCTCAGTTTAATATCTCATCTCCGATATGGTACTCGCCAGCACTGAGAAAGAAACTCCCTTCTCTTCTCCACTAGCGATGTGGGATCTTTACCGGGTGCCTGAACAGGGCACAGCCACGGAGCATCGTTCTGGCTTCCTGAGCGATGGGTCTGTGATGGATGTTATTGATGTTATCGTCTCTGGAACTGACAACCAAACCTTTGCTTGTGGCACCACCTGGTGTCTGTGAGTCAGTGCTGCAACCAGTGCTCTGAGAACCCAAATTATAATCCTTGCATTTGATACAGTGCTGGGGGGAGCGAGCCCCAGCACAGGCACGATGGGGAGAGAGAGAGAGAGAGAGAGAGCAGGGAATGGGGTTAGAGTAGAGAGCTCCAGTGGGGGAGCAAGCCCCAGCACAGGCACGATGGGGAGAGAGGAGAGAGAGAGAGAGAGAGAGAGCAGGGAATGGGGTTAGAGTAGAGAGCTCCAGTGGGGGAGCGAACCCCAGCACAGACACGATGGGGAGAGAGAGAGAGAGAGCAGGGAATGGGGTTAGAGTAGAGAGCTCCAGTGGGGAGCGAGCCCCAGCACAGACACGATGGGGAGAGAGAGAGAGAGCAGGGAATGGGGTTAGAGTAGAGAGCTCCAGTGGGGGAGCGAGCACCAGCACAGACACGATGGGGAGAGAGAGAGCAGGGAATGGGGTTAGAGGAGAGAGCTCCAGTGGGAGAGTGAGCACCAGCACAGACATGATGGGGAGAGAGAGAGAGAACAGGGAATGCGGTTAGAGTAGAGAGCTCCAGTGGGAGAGCGAGCACCAGCACAGACATGACAGGCTGACTGATTTCCACCGGTACCGTAATTTTTATGATCGTAAAATCAATATATTCCGCTCGTTGATAAAATAACACCAGCTCCTGTATCCTCGCCCAGATAACCAGAGCCACGGCTTTCATTGACATTCAATCAGTGCAAATCGGATGAGGGGAAGACACAGGCCAGCAACAGTCACTCTGGCCACTCATTCACATCAACAGTTTGCAAACCAGTTCACAAATAAATAAACTATTGGACATTTAGCAGAAAAGGAAAGTGAGAAGATGGAACTCACCGCTTCAGAATACCGTAAAGGCAGAATGGCCTTCAAATACATAATCACTACACCATACAGTAAAACTGGTTGTGATGAGGTGCTCTGTCAAACACGAGGCTTTGATGATAATTGATGGGGATGTTGAAGGGAGACAGACAGACAGACAGACAGGCAGGCAGGCAGGCAGACAGACAGACAGACTCACCTGATGAGGAACCAGACCGAGGGACGTGGGTGGCTCGTTCAAGCGATCGTCACTGCTGCTGGCCACGGCGTAGCCACTGAGAAAACAAATCAGCCAGTCAACCTCGCTCCATTCACTGCCATCCTCACTCCCGCCCACCATCACTGCAGCAAACGCTCCCCCCCACTATTAGCCCTGGATTTAGCTGCATTCTTTGCAAGTTTCACGCAGCGAGGACCGATGGTGAGCAGCTCGTATCCCTTTACGATGGCTAAGGGCCAAGATGGCTTGTTTGTTTCTTTTCTTGAGGGATTATTATTAGGCATGTGAAGTAAGGAAACATGCCCAAGGTTTCGCCCCACACGAACCTGGTTCTTAGTCGATTGACAGATCGCTTTTCTGGGGCTAATAATTCTTTCTCCCAAAAATAATAATAATTGTTCACTAAATTTACGACTGTTTGTGGGACACTGCTGTGAGCAATTGGCTGCTGTGTTTTGCCCACAAAATATACAGTCAATTCATTTTACAGTATATTCTGTGAAACTCTTTGAGACGCCTCGAAGACGTGATAAGGTGTTATATCAAATGCAAGGATTATTATTATAACAGCGACATTCTCAAACCAAACCTTCCAAGCATCCCGTCTCCCTGTTTACTGTGAAGCTGTGAGAGCAGACCCACCTTGCTTCCTATAATAATAATCTTGTATTTGATATAGCAAAACAATTTTTTGTTGGAGGGATTATTACCTCGGAAAAGCGATCCGTCAATCGACTAACAACCAGATTCCTACTTACTACTGGGTAAACAGAGGTGCGTGGTGTAATGAAACACCTAAGGGTTCGACCTGCCCGGGAATCGAACCCGGGTCCTCTCGCTTGCGAGTCGAGTAATCTAACCACTACGCTACAGGACTCCTTCCCGTCTGCAGAGCACCGTGCTGTGCCAAGCCGTGCTTACCCCTCGGGATGCTGCAGGATGGAAACCATCAGCTCGACAGCCAGGGCTCCCGCGATCATGGCCAGGCCGGGCCGGCTGACCGTGCACTGCTGGTCCAACGTGCGGTCTCTGGTGGACTGTAAGAGAAGCACAATGTGTCTTGGCGGGAATCCACATTGCTCAGTCTCTAGCGCTCGTGCCTCTGGGTCCCAGGGCCGGGGCTGCAAGCTTCACTCACATCAGGACTTTGAGCTCACAGTCCAGGCTGACACAGCCTCCACGCCTCCCCCGCTCGCCGCCCACCCACAGCCAACAGACTATGATCAGTCAACACAATCAAAGTGAAATAGTTGGAGCTCCACTCCCTGTGACAGACAGCTGTCACTCAATCACACAGAACCGCAGTGTGAAGGATGGGGTGTGTGGGGGGGGGGTGAAGGTGGGGGGGGGAGCTCTGCTGGGGACCTTGTGGTCTCCGCTCCACTATCTGTGTCCGTGTTTTCAGTCTCCGTGCACCGAAGCTTTGGAACTCTCTCCGCCAATTCCTCCGCCTTGCCCGCCCCCTCTTTTTAGATCACGACTGAAGACCTTCCGCTTGAACCGTACTTATGGTCACCTCCTCCCTCCCTCCCCCCCGCTCGGCATCAGGCTCTCCGCTGCTGCTAAGCGCTCCGAGACACTGACCTGAGTGGAAGGCGAGGTGTAAGTGCAAGTTGCGGTTAGATGTGACTTACATCTCCAGGGGCCACCACATCGTTGCAGAAGTAACAGCCCAGCTTGTATCCCGGAATGTTGGAGAAGAGGGAGGGTCCCGTGGAGTGGGAGTGGCCTGTGGCCGAGGGGGGTGGGTCTGTGGCCGAGGGGGGTGGGCCGGTGGAGGTAGCTGGCTCCCCACATTCCTGCTTCGCTTTTTTCAGCCCGTGTCTCATCACCACAAAGGTGTCGAAGCCCAGAGCAGCGTTGATCACCAGCTAGAAACAGAGAGAGCGATTAGTCGTGTCTGATCTTCAGCAACAACCTATCCCGCAAACCGAGCCCCCCACCCTCCTGCGGCCCCAGCCTTGGCTCTCTCTCCCCAACCTGTGCCCAAACCTCTGTGAACCTGACAACTCTCTCCCTCCCCTACTCTCCCGCCCTTGCCTTCCCCTCCAGTGTTTGTGTTCCTGTACGGTGCTATGCGATGGCCACTTGCTATACAAATAGCAATCTAGCTGTAGTGTTAGTGACGGTGGGCAGTGCCTGGGGGGGGAGGACGGGGGGAGTGCTGGCTGTGGTGGCAGTGCTGAGATGGGCAGTGCCCGGGGCAGGAGGTGCCTTGCAGTAACTTGTTGTCATGATGGTGGTGATGGTGGGCAGTGGGTGGCGGGATAGTAGGTGGTGGCTGTGGTGATGGTGGGCAGTGGGGGGGTGGGTACCTTGCGGTGACTGGCCGCCATGACGGTGGGCAGCCAGCGGCTCTCCCGAGTGTCCATGAGGAGGAAGAGGACGTCGTGTGAGCGCACCAGTTCCTCCAGCTGCTCCACATCTCTCCGCGCCTGTTCCCTCGTCTCCACAGAGAAATCCACAGGGTGTCCCGGCATCGGGATACTCAGGCTGAAGCCCTCGGCTTTCTGTAACCAGCAACAGGCAGGCAGTCACTACACTGCTACACAGTCACTAACATTGCCCACTGTGACACAGTCACTACACCTCAATCCACGGCTCAGTCACTTGTGCTGTGTGCGTACAAGCAGTTTTAGCTCTAATTCTCTTATCATTTCTCAAAAAAAAGGCAGCAAACATTGAGCTCAGCAATGGGGGATGGCAGCGGGAGGATTAGTGCTGGGCTGTTTGCTCGGACACTTTGACTTTCAGAATGAAGATGGAATATAAATAGTTTTAATGATTTAATTCCTCCACTCCAGCACGGGAGGGGATTAAAGAAAGGAAAGATTTTAATGTGGGGGGGGGGGGGGGGGAGGGATGGTGGTGTTGGTGGAGATTTACAATGTTATTGTGCTTCTCCTTCACAGCACCATTCAGGCATCACTCCAGAGGCTCTGCGATCTTCAAAAGCCAACTCCACAATGTGAGCGGCTGAAAGGCTTTGAAGATTAATTAATCCTCAAGGCAACAGATTACCCAAATCAAGGCTTTTCAACACAGAATCCATCGTGGGATCAAACTTGTGTGTATGTAAAACTGGTTCAGAGAATAATAATAATAACAATAATAGTCCTCGCATTTCATACAGTGCCTTCTCAAGTTGTTGAGACATCTCAAAGCGCTTCACAGGATATACTGTAAGAGTGAATTGACTATAATTTGTGAGAGAAACGCGGCAGCCAATTGCGCACAGCAGCGTCCCATAAACAGTCGTGGATTCCGTGACCATTTTTTTTGTGAAGTGCTTGGAGACGTCTCAACGGCATGATAAGGTCACAAAATATAGTCACTACACTTTACAGTGTATCCTGTGAAGCGCTTTGAGACGTCTCAAAGACATGATAAGGTGCTATATCAAATGCAATGATCCTTGCTTTGTGAGCCATTGCAGCCTTTTCTGGCCAAACGGCCTCTTTCTACGCTGTATTATTATTATTATTATTCGAGCTCTTGTATCAGGGAGGGTAAGACCTTGAGCGAGCTCCTGGCTGCTGCAGCCCTGGGAAGCGCAGACACCGTGTGGAGCAGGGCAGATGCTCACCACTCCGGGGAAAATCTGCCGCAGTTTTTCGGCCGCGGCCACAGCTTTCATCTTCCCACCATCCAGACAGTCCTCAAACTCGAACAGAGACTGGCGCACAGGGTTAGAGTAGGAGACTCTGGCGTTGTCCACGAAAGTGATCTGCCTGACTCCCCAACCCTGCAAACGGAGCACAGTACATCAACTTGGAGGGCACTATACAAGTGTAATTTGTTGTTGTTGTTGTACACAGGTGGTGTGGTGGGGGGTGCAGTTAGATCAGGCAACTCCTGTGTGTGTGTATGAGGAAGGGGAGGGGGGGGAGCACACAGTGGCCCATTTCTGTGCTCCGCAGTTTATTAGGCACAAATTATTTCAGAAACCTTTTGGTTCACGTGCACAGCCACTCAAGATTGCTTTGACCCCAGCCTTATACACACTTAATATGTGCTTAAAACTTACAGTTGAGTACGTTAGTGCACAGCGAGGGGGGGAGAGATTGTCAGATTAATTGTCCTGTTGAGACCAGATATGCAGAACAGCACACAGCGGCTTATGTAAATCAGACATTTTGGTTTAATGCGCGTGAAAAATTCTCTCAATCAACGCTACGCTCACTGGCTGTCATTAACCCACCCGTCAACTCGCACGTCAACAACCATCACCCTGCAATCCTGCGTTAGTATTAACCAGCTCCGCACCCCAGCTGATTGGCCAGGATACAGCATCCCCCAGACCTGAAATTCCACCTAGTCTTTGCCTGCGTCTCCACACCACCCCCAGAACTGTGGACATTACAATAGAATTTATACAGCACTGCCTGAGCACCTGAGCTGGGGGTGGGAGGGGCAACCAAGGATGGGTAGTGGAGAGATGACCGAAAGCACGGACAAAGAGGTATGTTTTGAGACTTTTTGAGAATGGAGCCAGTAGGAGAGACTCCAGGATGGAGCTCCAGAGAGCAGGGGTGAAAGCCCACCTGCCAAAGGGAGGGTGGTGGAGAGAGAGGGGAATATAAAGCAAGCCAGTGAGCGCTGAGCAAAGGGAGCAGCTGAAGTTAGTCCTCATTTGGAAGCCGGTTCCTTTTCTGAGACCAGCGAATTCCCTCCGTTCTTGGGTTTGAAGTTAAAACGTTCCCAGGGCTGAGGCTAGGTTTGCCTGCCCAAGCTGCCCAACGGGAGCCACCTGTCACCATCACTCACCAGCAGGGTGCGTGCCACGTTGCAGCCCAAGGTGCCGGCTCCCAGCATCAGGCACCGTGCCGTGCTCACCCGCTCCAGGTCCAGCGTGGGCACCAGCCGCCAGCGCATCAGCTTCAGGTTCAGGTCAACAGAAGCCTCGGCCAGTCTGTGGGCACAGAGATACACACGTAACCACAGAGATACCCACGCAGCCACAGAGATACACACTCACCCACAGAGGTACACATCCATAGACAAAATATACAGTATATCCTGTGAAGCGTTTTGAGACATCTCAGCAAAATGATAAGGGGCTATATCAAATGCAAGTATTATTATAAAGTATCGTCCCCATTTAAACTGGTCACCGGGAGAAACTCCCTCATCTATCCTCACAGCTCCTGTTTCTGGGTTATTCTGCATCTCTCCAGGCAGCTGTTACACACGACAACGTTACCTCTTGGGATCCATACACTCGCTGAGGTTCACCATCCGTGGACCCAGGGCTCCTTTCTGATTCTTCTCCCAGCCAACACACTTCGGGCAATCTGTGAGCAGAGAAACCAGCAGTGAACCACCATCCCAAAACAGCACCGCGACAATAACAACATATGACATTTGTATAGAGGGGGAACAACCTCCCATTGTCGGCAATGTTTCCTTCCTCACTGGGAATAAACAATGTGAACCCACCCCCCCCACTCCCACTCTGCTGGAAGCTGGGCATGTGAATGGGGGGGGGGGGGTTAAAAGGGAAGATTGATACTCCCACTGGAAAGAAAAAGGGGTCAAACGTCTGGGGAGAGAAGAAAAGTGACAAACTGCAATCTGTCTCACACTCGCATCCACAGTAATAAACACCTGCATTAATAGTAATAATAATCGGGTCCTCTCACTTGTGATGCGAGTGCTCTAACCACTACACTACAGGACTCCACAAAGCATTCAGTGTGGTGAGTGGAGTGATGGCTTACCTGTGGTGGCCGCCATGTCAGGAAGCTGCACCTGGAGGAGGAGGCTGTGCTGACTGTCTCTCTGGCCCTGCATCGTCCGGTCTCTGTAACACAGGATCTCCAGCGACTCGAGCCTCTCACCCCTGTCAGCAAACACAGCAAAGGTCAGGCTTCTTCCACCCACTCGCTTGCACACACACTCACTGGCAGGTAAATGCCCACTCAGCCCCGCACACACGCGCGCTCACCATACCAGGGCAACAAGGGAAGAGAAACTGCTTACCACCTGTAGGCAATCAGGACCAGAAGGTTCCGTAGTGGCCACCCCGGGTACTGGGTTAAGGTGCAAGGATCACAGAAACCCACAGTTACCTGTAAAACAAGGCGCTTGGTTTACGCAATGTAAAATACCGTCGTTTAACACAGAGCAGACACAGAGTGGGAGAGGGAGAGGGGACTGTCACAGGCTCAGTTTCCCCTGACTGTAAACACTGAAAGGCCTTCAATCTCTCCCGGTTCTGGCTTTAATTCTGAGACTCGCTCCCCCTGGGCTGGGCTAGTTACCTTGCCGTACCTTGCTCCGGGACACTACCCTGCATCAGGGGTGCTGTATAAATGCAAGTTGTTGTTGTTGTTGTACCTTTCTCTGGTCTCTGAAGAACTCGTTCCATTTTCTTAAAGGCGCCAACAAGACGGTCTGGTCAGAGTACTTGACGAGGAAGTAAGGGACGGCAGAGAGGCTCTCCTCCTGACACAGTTCGTCATATGCACGCTGCAGAGACTCCACCTGAAATACACAAACAATGGCTGCCATGTTTGCCTGCAAAAAAAAGTCACTACGCTTCACAGTAATTGCTCTGAAGCTCTTTGGGACGTTGCGACGTGATGGAAACACCAGGAATTTCCTGTTATCTGACAGGAAAGCCGGGTTAAGTTCCCGGCAGGGCCATCGCTGGTACCTGAGCGCTGGAGAAGCTCTCTGATAAGCTGACCGGCTGCTGGAGTAGGGGCACCATCTCCGGGAAACACAACGCAGGGAACGCAAACCAGTAATAGAAATGGTACTTCTTCAAATCCTGAAAAACACAAGTTGGTCCATGTGAAGGTGGTGTTAGTGAGGTGTAAAACCAGAAATACGCAGCAACGAGAACCTGCAACACACAGATACACACTCTCACACACAGAAACACATATACACAAAAACACACACACACACACAGACACACACACTCAGACACACACACAACCAATTCAGCTGGAGTTTCAGCACCTGCTGCTGGTCTGCAGCTCAGTGAATCGATTTCTAACCAATTCACGAACTCTACAAGTAACCAAATTAGATCACCGTGCTTCACTGTTAAAGGGACACTTACTGCAAACGTCAGCAGAATAAAGGAGTTCAGTAGAGTGGGGTCCTCCACTGCTCGGCCGGACTTTATGGACTCCCAGATCTAGCGAGACAAGCCACGATGCAGAAAGGGAAATGATTATTCACTGCCCAGAACCAAGTTCTTGCTTACTTACACCCGACCCGACCTGAACTGTGATCAAGGGAACCCCAGGACCGGAGTAACAATAGCCAATAATCTTTGCCTTAATACAGCAGCTTATCACAACATCAGGAATCTCACAATTTGCACATAACATCATCCCATGAGCAGCCACAAAGTGAGTGACCAATATTATTTGGGTGATTGTGGATTAGGACACCAGGAGAGAAACTCTCTTCTCTTTTCCAAAAACGCTGTGGTATCTTTAACGTCCACCAGAACATGTCCAGATGGGAACTCGGTTTAGAATCTCACTCGAAGGACAGCACCTCTGACGATGCCACACTCCCCGCAGCACCGCAATAGAGCGTCAGCCTAAACTGTCAACTCAAATTTCCAGTGTACCCCCAAAGTTCCCCAAACCCTGCTCGCGCTCTCTCCAACCCCAGGAATGGTCTCTTTCTCTCTCTCTGGTGTGAGCCAGGCCTGCGTTACTCACCTCCTTCCCCACCTGTTCCAGTAAAGCTTTCTTATCAGTGGATTTGAAGGCCTGGAAGGTGTTGGTGTTGTACAGGGAGCCGAATGCTGGGCAGCACCGCGCTGGGGTCAGTGTGTTCCTACACAGTCAGGACACAAAGCCTCCGTGAACAAATAAACACTTCAGTCACAGAAGCTGTCTGCCCGTCCGACTGCAGGTCCTGCTCAGCACCCCCACCCCCCCGCTCCCACCAACACCTCCCTCAAGAAGTCTCCTCGAGCAGCTTTGGGGTCACAACCACTCAAGCCAGAGCCGAGCGCTGAGCGGGGATTGTTGATCGGGTCAGGCAGCACTGAGTCACTGTTACTCACACGTCAAAGGCGCTGAACTCCAAGGTCAGACGAGTTGGTAATCCACTGGGATCTCCTGTCAGCGAGAAATCACCAGGTAAACAGAGAGTAACCAGTGACAGACTGAAACTAACTAGTGACAGACCAAGTGTAGCTAGTGACAGACTGAAACTAACTAGTAATAGATTGAGAGTAACTAATGACAGACTGAGTGTAACCAGTGACAGACTGAGTGTAACCAGTGGCATAATGAGAGTAACTAGTGACAGACTGAGGGTATCTAGTGTCAGACTGAGTGTAACCAGTGACAGACTGAGAGTAACCAGTGATGGACTGAGAGTAACCAGTGACAGACTGAGTGTAACCAGTGACAGACTGAGTGTAACCAGTGTCAGACCGAGTGTAACCAGTGTCAGACGGAGAGTAACCAGTGACGGATTGAGAGTAACCAGTGACAGACTGAGAGTAACCAGTGACAGACTGAGAGTAACCAGTGACGGACTGAGTGTAATCAGTGACGGACTGAGAGTAACCAGTGACGGACTGAGAGTAACCAGTGACGGACTGAGAGTAACCAGTGACGGACTGAGAGTAACCAGTGACGGACTGAGTGTAACCAGTGTCGGACTGAGAGTAACCAGTGACGGACTGAGAGTAACCAGTGTCGGACTGAGAGTAACCAGTGACGGACTGAGAGTAACCAGTGACGGACTGAGTGTAACCAGTGACGGACTGAGTGTAACCAGTGACGGACTGAGAGTAACCAGTGACGGACTGAGAGTAACCAGTGACGGACTGAGAGTAACCAGTGACGGACTGAGAGTAACCAGTGACGGACTGAGAGTAACCAGTGACGGACTGAGAGTAACCAGTGACGGACTGAGAGTAACCAGTGACGGACTGAGAGTAACCAGTGACGGACTGAGAGTAACCAGTGACGGACTGAGTGTAACCAGTGACGGACTGAGAGTAACCAGTGACGGACTGAGTGTAACCAGTGACGGACTGAGAGTAACCAGTGACGGACTGAGTGTAACCAGTGACGGACTGAGTGTAACCAGTGACGGACTGAGAGTAACCAGTGACGGACTGAGAGTAACCAGTGACGGACTGAGAGTAACCAGTGACGGACTGAGAGTAACCAGTGACGGACTGAGAGTAACCAGTGACGGACTGAGAGTAACCAGTGACGGACTGAGAGTAACCAGTGACGGACTGAGAGTAACCAGTGACGGACTGAGAGTAACCAGTGACGGACTGAGAGTAACCAGTGACGGACTGAGTGTAACCAGTGACGGACTGAGAGTAACCAGTGACGGTCGGGGTCGGGGCGGTTAGAGTTAGTTACACTAGTTACCGTTGTAGTAATGTCCCCGCAGCGGTTTGGCGCTCTGGTCCAGTCGGTAAAGCTCCAGTTTGCGGCGGGTTAACTGGTGCCAGAAACCCGCGTCCAGAGCACTGCAGAGCGGCGCGAAACTCAGCGCCATCGCAGCTCAGCCCCCGACGCACATTTAGTACGTCACTGCTCAGCTCCCGGCGCACACTACACGTCACTCCCCCACCCCGCACCCTGAATACACCACTCACCCCCCACCCCGCACCCTGAATACATCACGCTGGTCATGCCCCCCCCCCCCCACAAATGTCCTGTGAATATCCTGATTTACCTATACAGAGCTATCAATAATAATATAATAAATAGTAATGTGGTCACACAGTTCACTCTACGGTATATTCTGTGAAGCCCTTTGAGACGTCTCAACTACGTGATGAGGCGCTATGTCAATTGAATATTATTATTATTATAAATTTCCCGCCGCGTTTCACCCACAAATACACAATCAATTCACTTTACAGTGTATTCTGTGAAATGCTTCGAGGCGTCTCGAAGACATGAAAAGTGCTATGTCAGACGCAAGGATTATTATTATTATTATAATATAACATAACATGTAGGAGCAGGAGGAGGCCATTCGGCCCTTCGAGCCTGCCCCGCCATTCAATCATGACTGATCTTCTAATCTAACTCCAGCTAATAACCTGATGCTGCCTTATCCCCATATCCCTTAATCCCTTTTGCAATAAGAAATCTATCTCAGTCTTGAATATGTTCGAGGACTGAGCGTCAACAGCCCTTTGGGGTAGTGAGTTCCATACATTCACTGCTCTTTGAGTGAAGAAGTTCTTCCTCAACTCATTATTAGTATAGCTACTTTTATTATCCTATAGTGTAGTGGTTAGCGTGCTCGCCTCGCAAGCGAGAGGACCTGGATTTGATTCCCAGGCAGAGTGAAACCTTCGGCAGGTTTCCTTACTCCTTACACAAGCCTCTGTTGACCTAGCAGTAAGCAGGAACCTAGTTGTTAGTCGATTGGCGGATCGCTTTCTGGAAGTAATAAGCACTCCAAAAAAATTCAATAAATAAAATAAAACTCAATCCATGACTGTTTGTGAGACATTGTTGTGCGCCTTTCGTCCCAAAAAATACACAGTCACTACACTTTACAGTATATATTGTGAAACAATTTGAGACGTCTCGAAGACATGATAAGACACTCTTTCAAATGCAAGTATTATTATTATTATTGTTATTATTTTACTGGTTTGTGGATCTGAATCCCCAGATCTGTTTGCTCTTCTCCTCCTCTTAGGTTCCTACCCTCTGGACCAGGGGAGTCCAATAGGGGACTCGCACACTCACACACAGGCGCACATGCAGACACACTCAAACACACACACACACACAGAGAAAGGAGCCCAGAGATTCTGATACAATAACAACAAATTACATTTGTATAGCGCCTTTCTCATCGGGAGGACGTCCCAAGGCATTGGGTGTGTGGGTCTGGGTGAGGGTGGTTCCCAGGTGATGGCGGGGTGTGGGGGGGGCAGTGTCGAAGCTTGAATCGTTTTCTTTTTGCCGAATTATGTAAGTGACATGATTGGGAAATCATGAGATTTGGTGCTAATCAGCATCTGAGTTAATTATTGAATGTGAATATTGTTCCCTCCAATGGGAGCGTCGGAATTCCATCTCTCTGCTGCTGCCTGATTAAAGGTTCTCATTAAAATCATTTGCATAATCTCTATGCGTCTCCCTCTGTCTCTCTGTATCTCTCTGTGAATGAGAATGTCTTATGTTTACACAAAGGGAACGATGGCTTCACATCTCGGCTCCGAACCTCACCTCTGGCCGCCAGCGCTGGTCAATCTTTGAGCTGCTTTTTTGCCAATTAAAAAACTTCCAAAAAGAATCCAGACAGTAAATGACGATGCTTATGGTTGGTGCCCAGAGCAGTGGCCGGGAAACGTGACTGAGCCACAAACTCAACCCAAAAACTCAGACAGCCGTTTGTCCAACTCAACATGTAAATCAAGGCATCGAGCAGGTGTTAACAGCTCACACAGCTCTGCACGGGATTGGGAGAGATGAGGGGGGGGTGGATTGGGGGCAATGGGAATGAAATATTCGTCAAGATCTAATAAACTGGAAAACAGGCTGGGTGGGTGTGAAAGTTTAGTGTACAGAGCTTCAATGGTAGTGTGAGCACCAGCACAGACACGATGGGAAGCTAGGGGGTTTAGCTTGGGGTGGGGGGGGCGGAAGGGGGGGTGAGCTCTCCGCATGTTGGAGAAGGCTGTGAGTGTCAGAGCCGGTGAGGAGTGAGCTGTGACCGGCCCCTGAGCCAGCCGTGTCCTCACCGCCTCGGTTGCTGATTGACAGGAGGCTTCAGCGCTGTAATGAGTCAGTGACTGGAGCCAGCGCCATGCTGCAGGCCAGCGAGAGGCACAGACAGGCTGTCACACAGCGAGACCTTACAAACTGCTGCTCACAGCCTCCGTACTGCCCGTCCATCCATCCAGACTGCCCCTCTGCCATCGATCTCTCTCTCTCTCTCTCTGAATGTCCGTCCATCAGTCTCTGTCTGTCTGACTGTCTCTCTCTGTCATTTGACCCACAAAGTATTCAATTCACTTCACAGTAAATCCTGTGAAGCGCTTTGAGACGTCTCAACGACGTGATAAGGCCCTGCATCAAATGCCAGTTTATCATTATTTGCTCACTTCATGGCTATTCGTGGGAATTTACTGTGCCTGAACCTCCCCCCATGTCTCCCCTCTCCCCCCTGCCCACCCCCCGCTCTCCCTCCCATCTTTCCCCTCTCCCCAATCTCCCCTCTCCCCGCGCTCCCCTCTCCCCGTTGTTTTCCCCCCCTGGGGATGGTGAGTGAGCAGAAAGTGAACATTCCATCACTGCTGGAATCTCACAGTATAATTTCCCGGTTGGTACCAGGACTGGCAGTGGAGGCTGTTGCCGTGGTGACCAGCTGGCAACAGGTGGGACGAGGCAGTGCAGAGATCCAGCGATTCTTAGTTTACATTTGCATAATTAAATAGAAGAGCGGCAAAATCTCAATTAAAGACAGAGACATAATTAAGCCCCCGGCATGTGTCCCTCTGGAGACTGCAGATAATCAGCCCGTCACCAGGGACACAGAGAGAGCGACAGAGAGAGAGTGAGAGAAACGGAGAGTGAAAGATTGAGAGCACAAGACAGTGAGCGAGAGACAGCTCGTGAGAGAGCGAGACGGAGAGCGAGATAGAGCGCGAGAGCGAAACAGAAAGCGAGAGAGCAAGACAGAGAGAGACAGAGCAAGGGAGAGACAGAGAGCAAGACAGAGAGTGAGCTCAGAATTTCTGATCAAAGGAATAAGAGATTAATAAATCTCCGGAGTTAAGGAGGGGACGGTGACTAATTGATGTAAAACCCTCGCTGACAGGATTGGCTTTTTCTCCAAACAGAAATTAACATTTGCTACTTTGACAAATTTGGTCACAAATTCAGCATCAGAAATGTGCCTCAGTCTCTGTTCTGTTCCCTTGAACTCTGTCTCGCCTCCTCTCGGTCTGTACTCAACCCCGACTCAATTCCTGCCTCTTTTAACACAACGACAGGCTCCTCTTCCCCCCCCCGACACAACCTCGCTGTCCACACCATCCCCGCGCAGCGCTCTGAGACCCCACGTGAAGGGCGCCATGTAAATGCAAGTTGCCTCCCTTCCTTAGACTTGCCATGACCCTACAACTTGCGGATGACTTTGGACAACTCGTAACCCTGGGCAAGGGGATGGGGTTACAACACAGTCAGGTGGTGTGTGATTATTCGCACCCTCCCCTCAGCCTCGTCTCCCCCTCACGCCCCCCACGACCCACCGCCTTCCCGCCCGCCAGTATACCCCACATTATGAATGCGCTGCCCACTTCACTGCCCATTGTCCTGTTTATTCTCAGCAGCACAATCACAGTAATTTACTGCTGGCCGCTGGGAATGGGAGGCTGTAATTATTCCTGTCAGGCTCCAGTGGTTCCACATCTCCAGGATACAGGCAACTGCTTGTTTCCCACAGAACTGTCACCGTCTCCCAGTGATGTGCAAATCACACACACATACACATTCAACACAGCCAAGCCACAGCTTTCATTCCCATCATCAACACACGTGTCTGGTTGTCTGTGTATGTGTGTCTGTGTATGTGTATATGTGTGCCTGAGTTGTGTGTGTGTGCGTCATTCCACCAAACCCTGACTCGTTTATTGATGATAAACCATGAAATAGTGAAAGGCTTTCTCTTAGTCTTGTCACCTTGGATCGTTTTCCAGGTTTAATAATCTCCTACTTGCTGCGATTACAAATCGTCCAGCTTTCACTATGCTGCAAGTGTCAGCAGCTGGAGCAAAATAATAATTATAATAATAACCCTCACATGTGCTAAGACTCCTATCACATCATCACAACATCTCAAAGCGGTTCACAGGACACACTGTAAATTGTAGTGACTGTGCATTTTGCGTGTGTACGCGGCATCCAATATGCACACAGCAACATGCCCGCAAACGGTCGTGAAGTCAGCGAACAATTTTTTGGGGAGTTGGGGGGGGAGGCGAGAATGGACTGTCGGCCAGGGCACAGGGGGAAAATATCCCGTCTTTGAATATTAATAATAAAATATTAAAGAACTTTGAAACCAGAGATGAAATGTCAGGCTCCCTACCCATCGGCCGCCAGTATTCAGCCAGGCGTACACACACACGCACACACACACACGCACACACACAGGGAAGGGCTGTCATGGCATTTGAGAATGGTTGGAGGGTAGGCTATGGGCATGGGTTCTGAGTTTGATTGGTGCAGTGAGACATCTTGCGTATTTGTGAAGGCAGGGAAGAAACGACCTTGCTTTTTATAGCCTCTTACCCCCTCACTTCTCAAAGGTCCTTGCGGCAATTTGCTGCCCAGCACTGAGCGACATTCGCAGGCAAATGGACGGCTATTTGCACACCTACGACCCCACACACAGCCGTGAAGTGAGTGATCTGTCTGTCTGTCTGCAGGAGGATTTCCCAAACTCTGAACAATTTTGCAGGAAGGTAATGAGGGGAAACAGATTACAGTATAAGGTAACGAGTTTTATTTGTTTTCGAAAAAAATTGACAGCACAAGTGACAGTCAGGTCCTGAACTCACTCTTTAACACCATTTAGAAGGTTAACTAGGATTTAATAGATAGGCTTATACTGTACATTTGATCGATTTAACATTTATAAATCTACAAAAAACAATACTCTTTTTTTAACCAGACTGATTATTATATATTGAATATATTTTTTTTATACAAACTAAATACATCGCTGATGTGCACAGAAACGACAGTGCTAGTGTGTCTCTCTTTCTCTCTTGGATTAGTTATTGCAGTGATTAGGTCTGTTTTTTTTAAAAGGAAGAGATCTTGTGTTTCACTCTGGAACAAAACTACACAGAGAATAAGATGCAGACGTTCACATTTCATCTTCACACACTGGCTATACAATAACGTTGACGAGGTACACACACTTTGTACTCAGATCTGAGGCGTTTAAACACGACTCCGCAATCAGACTGCCTCTTGCTTAAACTTCTCCCCTTCTCCTCACTTCTCCACACCGCTCCTCCCCTCGCCACCGCTCTGCCCCCCTCACCACCGCTCTGCCACTCCCTCCCCAATGCTCCTGCCCCCCCTCCACATCGCTCCTGCCCTCCCCTCCCCATCGCTCCTGCCCCCCCCTCCCCACCGCTCTGCACCCCCTCACCACCGCTCTGCCACCCCTCACCACCGCTCTCCCACCCCCTCCCCACCGCTCTGCCACCCCCTCCCAACACTCCTGCTCCGCCTCCCCACCGCTCCTGCCCCCTCCCCATCGTATCACGCTATGCCACAGCCTCAGATCTGAGCAGATTTGGGTAATTGTAAATAGATGTACTTTATAAAATGAAACCAAAGTTTAATCAAGACACTATATTGACGTTATATTGTCATCATTACTTAGCATTACATTGTACAACAGCACTAACTGGTTCTCCCATCTACGCCGGCCGGTCCCTGCCACAGTTGTGTAGCTGCCTCGACCACAGGGCGATGTCTGTTAGTAGAGGAGGAAAGGGATGCCTGGGAACGTGCGCTGGCTGTCCTCACCATCTCTCTCCTGCTGCCCCCGGGGACAGCCACAATGTCCCTGCAGCTGCTCCCGAGCCTAAGCCGAGCGGACGGTGTTTTATACAAATGTACATTTATGTTCAAATGTTGACCTCACCGGGATTCGGTGGTTTGTGTTCAAGCTGGAGTTGTGCTGGGGGCTGGGGCTGAGGATTGCGGGCTGGGGGCTACAGGCTGGGTTGGGGCTGAGGGCTGCAGGCTGGGGGTTGGGGCTGCAGGCTGGGGGTTGGGGCTGCAGGGTGGGGGTTGGGGCTGAGGGCTGCAGGCTGAGGGTTGGGGCTGCAGATTGGGGATGTGGTTGGGGCTGTGGGGTTGCGGGTCAGGGTTAGGGGCTGGGCTAGGGTTTGGGGCTGGGTTTTGGGGGTTCGGAGCTGGGCTAAGGTTTGGGACTGGGGTTTGGGGCTGGGTAGGTAGGTTGCAGGCTGGGGGCAGGGGTTAGGGTCTGGAGCTAGGGTTGCAGGGTGGGGTTGCAAGCTGCGGGTGGGGGCTGGATGGTGGGGGTGTATTTGGAGCTGGGATTGTGCTTTGTGCTTCCTGTTGAAATGGGATGAGAGCAGAGGAGCCATTGGTTAGGATTTTAGGGTCTGACGAGGAAGTTTGTATTGGAGTCGGACTGTGGTTTGTGTTTAGAAACTGGAGGAGAAGCAGAGCTGTGAGTATGAGTGCCAGGTGGGGGTGTTGGGCTGTATCTCGCTCTCCCTCACACCTCCTGTCCTCACATCTCACCCAAACTTTGCTGAGAGACAATGTAGCCATAACATAGCAGACTGAACGGAATTACGGAAAATCCTTAAATCCGGTCTCAATTCGGATTAAGACTGAGTGTAAGAATTGGCAACAATTCTAAGCCCTGTTATGTGGTCCCATGGGCTGAGACTGAGTCGAATTTGGGCCTGAAAATACACAGTCACTACACTGTAATCTCGTGAGTCTCCGTGACTGAAGAGGTCACTCTGAGTTTCACAACGTCACATGATTAAAGTGTAGTTACTGTATTTTCAGGCCCAAAATGAGACGGGGGTGGGGTGGGGGGAGTCATTTGAGGGGTGGGAAAAAACCACACATGTTTGGGGGTGATTGACCGACCTGGGGGGTGGGGGGTAAAGTGGAGAAGGGCTGTTAGAAGAATTTATAATTTTATTGCAGAAAGAAAACCATAATAGGGTGGTGCGGAGTAAGGGTGAGCTGCTGCTGAGGGAGAAACGGGCAGTTTACAAACACTAACAGTCGACCTCTTTTGATGCGAAACATAGGAAAATTCAGCCGTCGCCAAATTGCGGGACACTGAGGCACATCAAAAGAGGCTGAGAGCCTTACACGTGGCTTTGTTATATCGGAGGGAGGGGAGGAGGGAGGTGCACGATACAGTAACTCTAGTCCTTGGTCTCACACTTCCTGGCTGGTGCCAGTATTAGTACCTCGACGGACAATAAATAAGCTAAATATACGCCTCCTCTGTGGGTGTGGTGCCGCGCTCTGGCTGCTCGGGCCCGTTCTCCTGGTGTTTGCTACCTAACGTCGGCTGGGTCATCAGTCGCAGGCGCTGCGGGTCACAGAGAAACAAACAGAGAGACATGGGATTTGAAGGTGAGGGCGGAACGTTCAATCCTTCAGTCCTTTCCCCCACCCACCTCCTCCTCTCCCCACCACCTCCCCCCCAACAGCTCCTCTTGCAACCACTGCACTGGTAAACCATGCCCGGGGGGCTGGGGGGTCAATTCAGAGCAGCACTCTCTCTCTCTCTCTCTCTAACACTCCCAATACTGAACTGGAGCGTCAGTCTGAGTTCAAAGCCCCTGAGGTGGATGGGAGGGGGCCTCGAATCCATGTTCCCCTTACCCAAAGGTGAGACTGAAAATTGTAGTTGAGATACAGATCAGCCATGATTGAACAGAAGGCAGAACAGGCTTAAGGGGCTGAATGACCTCCTCCTGTTCCTATGTTCCTGTCAATGACAGGCTGAGACTCAGTGAAAACACCACTAACTGATAATAATAATCCTTGCATTTGATACAGCGCCTTATCATGTCTTCGAGACATCTCAAAGCGCTTCAAAGAATATACCGTAAAGTGTAGTGATTGTGTTTTGTAGTCGAAACGCGACAACCAATTATGCATAGCCGATGCTCTAGATGTGCGCGGAGCAATAGATGCTGGAATTCATTGGCCAAGCAGTTGGGTTGGGGCAGAGTCTTGGGACGGCCACTCACCTGCTTTAAGGAGCCCTTGGAGACCAGGAACAAGTATCCCATGTAACCTGGGATCAGCAACATGGAGGAGAGAGCCATGCACCAGCCCACACCCTGGCCCCACTTGGGGAAGATATAGCTGCCCATGGTGAGCGGCGTCATCTGCACAGCACTGAAGAGGAACACGCCCTGGAACACAGCGACCGAGCATTCGTCACCCAACAATCACAGCCAGCACTGGGGTGGGTGGGGGAGGGTGCAGACTGGGGTGTGTGTGTGTGGGGTGGGTGGGGGGGTTGTGTGTGTTGGGCGCTGTTTGTGTGGAGTGTGAGGGTTGGCGGTGTTTGTGTGAGTGGGGGGGGGGGTGTTGTGTGTGATAGGTGGTTGGGTGGGTGCATGTGTGTAAGATGTTTATGGGGGGCTGTGTGTGTGTGTAAGTATGGAAGGGGAGGGGTGCTTGCTTGTGTGTCAGGTTGCGCTTTGGACATCCTCCTGACATGAAAGGTGCTATACAAATGTAATTTGTTGTTTGTGGGAGGGGGGAAATGGGGAGCGAGTGGGACTGATGGAGAACAGCCGATAGGTCCTCCACCCCCATGAAATTCACACAACTGAGGAGTGACAGAGGCCGTCCGTTGTGCTACATGCCCTCCACACGTGTGTGCCTTCTCACAGGTGCAGGTCCCTTGCACATGTATGTTCTCTCTTACCCCCACGATGACCGGAGTGAAGAAAGACCAGCAAAGCTTCCACCAGACGCAGGGTTTGTGCCCGACCATCTCCTCCATATTGTCATAGAACCTATTGACTCCTGTGGGGAGAGGGGCAAGGCAAGTCAGTCTGCTTTACACCGAACAAACACCGAGTCTGAGATCTTCCCATAGAGCGAAAGACACAGTGAGAGACATAGAAATTGAGAGACAGAGAGAGAGAGAGAGAAATAGAGACACAGGATGAGAGACATAGAAACTGAGAGACATAGAAATTGAGAGACAGAAAGAGAGACACAGAGAGAGAGTCACGGAGAGAGAGGCACACAGAGAGAGACACACAGAGAGAAAGAGGCACAGAGAGAGAGAGAGAGAAAGAGAGACACAGAGAGACAGAAAGAGATGGAGACACAGTCAGAGAGAGAGAGATGCAGCATTGGGTGATAACCCAACAGGTTGCAGATTTAAACTTGCCTGATAAACACTCCCAAATTCCCGTAAACTAAGGGTTCGACATTGTGTTTACAGCGAAAAACTAATGGACCCAAATTCTCCACTGAAGCACCGAGTGTGGCCATGTTTGTCAGTTGGAGATGGGTTTTGTAAAGGAGCCAATGGGGGGCACAGGAGAGGGCAGTATCAATCCCTACAAAGGTTCCCCTCGGTCTCATCCCCACACATGGACACAGTCATGGTGACTATCTTATCGCTCGCCAAAACCTTCCTCTTGTCCTCCTTTCTCTACACCTGTCAGTCTCTCGCTCCAATCATTTGCGTTCTCTCTCCAACCTGCCGTCCTGTTTTTCCCTCTTTCTCGGCCAGGTCTTCTTTTCCATTTTATCTTGCTCTCTCTCTCTCTCTCTCTGCTCTGCTTCAATACTTGTTTTATTCTTCTATAAAACCGTAATAAAACAATCCTTCCCTGTCTTCAGTCGCCCACCCACTCCTCCTCCTCCCAGCCACCGCTTGCTCTTCTCTCTTGCCTCCACTCTCAGTGAAGCTCTCAGCCTTCACCACAAACATCCATGAGGAGGTTCCCCTGTGCTTCTGTATGTAACACCCACCCCACCCCAATCATACACACACACACACCAACCCCTACACACACAAACCCCTACACACCCACGCTCCTAACCCCCACCCACCAACCCCCGCGGTTTTCACTGCGCTCCTCACCGCGCACTGAACATCAGCCTCGTCCACAATGCGTGATTATGGTAATCACCAGCACCGTCGCTCTAAGACCCACTGAGGTGTCACACTGTGATGTGATAATTACCCACTCCCAGCTCAAGCTACAAGACGGTTGTCGAATACTAAAAACATTTAAGAATGACGTGTGTCTGTGTATGTGTCTGTTTGAGACTGTGTGTGTGTGTATGTGACTGTGTGTGGGGGTGTGACTGTGTGTGGGGGTGTGACTGCTTGTGGGGGTGTGCGTGTGACTGTTAACAGACAAGGTGCTAATAAACAATACAACAATGGGGTAAATGGATCGTTGTAAATCTTACCGTAGCACCAAGATATTGAGATGGTCTCAAAGAAAACAAGAAAGAGCAAAGACATCCCACTAGCTGAGTAGTAGTCAAAAAGTTTAAAGACATACAGACCACCCTAGAGAAAGAAACAACAAGTTGCCATGGATATCAACCACATCCCCAATAACACACAGCAACAGAGCCTTCATTGAGATGTCTATTAGCACAGAAATATATATAATCTATCTATCTATATATTATATATGAGGCTGGCCTTTAGCTGACAAAGTCTGGCCTGACTAGACTGCGTCCATCACAAAGGGTTGACACATTCACTTATTCTGTTCCACATTCACACAGGCCGTTCCCTCACCCTTAATACTCCACCTCAACACCATTCACTGTTGGTGTAAAAGCCTCTTTCATTCTCTCTTCACTTCAGTTTAACTCTCTGCCTTCACATTTTGCTGCCGATGGTGACACTAACAAAGCTCTATTACTGAGCAGCAGAAAAGCCAACTGAAGCCCATCAGTCTCACTCTCACCTCTCAGGGATCACCAAGATCAGACACATCCCAGGCAGGAATTAGACACTTGTCTAAAAGAGAGACTATGGAATCCAGGGATGTGACTCCTGATATTGTCCACCCACTTCATCTCCATCTCTATCTCCAACTCCATTGTGTCAACATTCATTGATCTCCAAAGGTAGCCAAGGAAGGAATGTTGCTCTCCCACCCCCCTACCCCTCCACACCCATTATCTGTGACTCTCGTCGTCAGGAAAAGCCCCTGGATAATGTCCCCTCTCAATCTCTCTGCTAATTTGCTAGAACCACTTGTGTTCAAGCCAGACCCATTCATTCTGTTCCATTCCATCTTCACAACCACAATCCCTGAGCTAAACACTACGATTTTAACGATTAATTTCTAAATGTCCCTGTGTTAGTCGTGATGCTACACAACCCACCAAACACAACAAACAACACAGAAACTAAACACAACAGACAACGCAACAGAATAAAGCTAACACAACAGACAAGACAACAGACAACAACAAAACACAATGTAACAGCAGACAACGGTAGAGAACAAACACCATACCCTGCAACACACTGCAATAAACACACGCAGCTCAGCACCACGCAGCGCAGCAAAACCCAAAAGAATGCAACACAACATATCAACGCATCCCTCGAGGGGACGAAGAGTGACCAGGAAGGGTGGTTGAGGCCAGGACACTACACCTTGTTTAGGAAACAGCTGGACTATAATGGACAGACAAAGGTGAGATCAAAGGGGTCGAAGAGTCTTCATCACCCAAATCTCTCCTGTGATCTTCGTCACATCATTGCGCTTCCATACAACAGCTGTAAAAGTGGCTCCGTAAGGTGTGTATGTGTGTGTGTCGGTGTGGGGGGGGGGGGGGGGCTTGAAGGAAATGGAGGGAAAGTATCATGGTGTAAATTGTGCCATTTCACTCTTTGTGTAACTGTGTAGGATTGATGTCTGCCTGGACTCATACACTCTCTCACACTAATTGTCATGAATCAGACCTAACGGAAGGTTTCACAATGCTGACGGTTTTCAATATATTAAACAGAACAACTGTTCCTACTGATTGGCGAGTCAGTAGCGAGAGACTGTAAAAGGAAACCTTTCCTCAACAGATGAAAAGTTTGATCAGAAGCTGTTTGCTGAGCTGCTGGACTTACCACACATGGGTTCAGTCCACAATGTTTAAACGTGAAATGGATAATTATTAGAGAGGTGTGGTGCGAAAGCAGGGAATGGGGTTAGAGTAGAGAGCTCCAGCGAAGGAGCGAGCACCAGCACAGACACGATGGGGAGAGAGAGAGCAGGGAATGGGATTAGAGTAGAGAGCTCCAGTGGGGGAGTGATGGGGAAGCAGAGCGAGATAAACTCAGAGAAAGTCAGGCAGTATTAATGTATACAATTATAGTTAAGGTTCAGAACTGGTACTGCTATTGTATACTATGTATAAATATACACATGGCATTTATTTCAATTGAATTTCACTTGCCAAAACAGCAGCACAAATCATTTGCTGCATCGAGTGTGACATCCAGGTGACAGACCCACGCCACTGGGTTTATAGCTGGTCATTACCCTGTGGTGTCACACCGGGTATGAGAGTGCGCGGGTGCTTTACCTGGGTGATGTTGGACAGACCTATCAGATAGGAGACCACACAGACCCCCGCAATGAAGATTTCTCTTCTCCCTCGAAGCACACTCGGAAACTCGTCCACCAACGCAGTGATAAATCCTTCCACCGTACAGAACTGCAAATCACAGGGTAACGTTACCTCAGAGACGCTACATAAAACCGCCTCACTTCACAAAACATGTGGGGGGGGGGGGGGGGGGCGGCAGTGGAAACTCTCTCATTCTCTGTTTCAGTCTCTTTCTCTTTCCCTCTCTGATTTTCTATCTATCTCATTCTCTTACTCCCTGTTTCCCTCGCCCGCTGTCTGTCTTTCTCCATCTTCCTCTTTCTGTCTACCTCGCTCTCTTATTTTTTTTATATATGACCAGAACAGAAATAAAACACAATGACATCATTTACAAACAAAATATTGATCAAGTCTTAAATCAATTTAATTTTGGAGGCTGAATTTTTCCCCCACATTTAGATTTCTGAATTTTGACCAGAGGATTGCAACGATCTGCATTTTTGAGACAAGACGCTGGAGGCTGAGAGCAGAGAGATGTTAAAGCCTCGGGTGTTTGGAGCTGATAACCCGCTCAGTGTGTTGGTGTGAAGTGTGCTCGCTGTGTGATTACACTCTGCAATCTGTCAGCTCGGACGCAATCACTCAGTCATTTGACTGCTACTCACGCTTGCTCCATACCCAGTCCAGCCGACTCTGTCTTATCATTACTGATGGAAGATTCTTTATCAGTGCGGGGAGGGGGAGAGGGGAGTGTGATGGTACAAGCAGGAGCACCACCAGGGGCTAATCAGCCCAGTTACCCATGGCAACAACACACTGTCCAGTGCTGATGTGTGGCTGAGGGAAGGAAGAATTGATGCCTCGTCACGTTTCACTTCCTCGACAACAAAATTTGCAGAAATTCCTAAATTAACTGGCGAGATATAGACGGCCTGTCCTAGTATTTGGGCAGGACTTGCCAGCGTTCCGAAGGCTCTTCGCTTTACTGAGCGTCGACTGTTCCTCAGTGATGGTGGCTCACAATCGTGGCTCACACGGCACCTTTTCACGTCAAGTAACCAGTGCCTAGCGCTCGGCCTGCGATGATTGATGAGAGAGGGAAGCGGGCCGGTTGGCCGGCTGGCCGGCCGGGGCCTTGTGCTGGGGACGGTGCTGGGTAGTTTGTCAGCCCCAGATGGCTCTGTGACAGATCTGGGCTTGGAATTCAGTCAAAATATGTCATTCTCTCCCGGGGCCATATTAGAACTAATTAATTGGAAAACTAGCGAGCACTCAACACACCATCATAGCTGAAGCTTTTACAATCAATATTGTTTCGCCATTCTCTCTGTTATTTCACGGAGGTCTGGGTCCGGATGAGTTTGATTCACTCTCAGGTGGGTGAAAAGGTAACAGGCCGGACAGGGAGTGGGGTAGATACGATGGGAGTGAAGGGTGGGGGAGTTTGAGGGGAAAGGAATATGTGGGGGGGGGGTGTTGGCTCTCAGACTCAATCTCACAGCAGCAGCAGATGGTACCAAATGAGGGGTGAAGGAACCAGTTGAACGACAGGAAAGGAATTCAGTATTTAAAGCCCCATCTGTGCTGGTCTGTGGGCAGCTGCCCCCAGGCTGTGAGTTCCACCACATCCCTGAGCAGCTGCAACCTGGCTCCCTCTCCTACTTGCTCTCTCTATCCCGCTCTCAACCCCACACTCTTTCTATCCCACTCTCTCTCCCGCTCTCTCTCTATCCCACTCTCAACCCCTCTCTCTATCCTGTTCTCTCTCTATCCCGCTCTCCGCAAACAACAGATTACACTTGCATAGCACCCTTCACGTCAGAAAGATGTCCCAGGATGCTGGACAGTCAGGGATTTTAGGAAGTTTTCCGAGATGAAGGGGGATTATCAGGGATGATTTTTTTTGCCCAGCCAGGTCTCTGATACACACGGAAACCATCACAGTGCTTAAGGGTCTCCAAACCAGACTGACTATTCCACGCATCCCAACTACACATGGTAGGAGGAATTTATCTGGGTGGGAGAGGGGCTTTTGCAGTCAGAATAACACCACAAACAAACCATCACAGTCTGAGAAGTTGGAGGGAATCAGGTGGAGGAAGAGGAGCGAGCAAGCAGGGAGCACGAGGAGCTCAGGTGAAGATGACCCTTTGGCCTGTTTGACTCGGTGGCTGTGTGACACTGTGTGACACTGTGACTGTGACACTGTGTGACTGTGACACTGTAATTGTGTGTAACTCTGACTGTGTGAGTCTGTGACACTGTGTGACTGTGTGAGTCTGTGACACTGTGTGACTGTGTGTGACTGTGTGTGACTGTGGCTGTGTCACACTGTGTGACACTATGTGACTGTGTGACTCTGTGTCTTTCTCTATGTGACTGCGTAACCTGGGTGAGAGGTTGCTGGTCGCAGCTTGTTTACCCTCCGAGACTGTGTGTGTGTGTATGTGACTGTGTGTGGGGGTGTGACTGTGTGTGGGGGTGTGACTGCTTGTGGGGGTGTGCGTGTGACTGTTAACAGACAAGGTGCTAATAAACAATACAACAATGGGGTAAATGGATCGTTGTAAATCTTACCGTAGCACCAAGATATTGAGATGGTCTCAAAGAAAACAAGAAAGAGCAAAGACATCCCACTAGCTGAGTAGTAGTCAAAAAGTTTAAAGACATACAGACCACCCTAGAGAAAGAAACAACAAGTTGCCATGGATATCAACCACATCCCCAATAACACACAGCAACAGAGCCTTCATTGAGATGTCTATTAGCACAGAAATATATATAATCTATCTATCTATATATTATATATGAGGCTGGCCTTTAGCTGACAAAGTCTGGCCTGACTAGACTGCGTCCATCACAAAGGGTTGACACATTCACTTATTCTGTTCCACATTCACACAGGCCGTTCCCTCACCCTTAATACTCCACCTCAACACCATTCACTGTTGGTGTAAAAGCCTCTTTCATTCTCTCTTCACTTCAGTTTAACTCTCTGCCTTCACATTTTGCTGCCGATGGTGACACTAACAAAGCTCTATTACTGAGCAGCAGAAAAGCCAACTGAAGCCCATCAGTCTCACTCTCACCTCTCAGGGATCACCAAGATCAGACACATCCCAGGCAGGAATTAGACACTTGTCTAAAAGAGAGACTATGGAATCCAGGGATGTGACTCCTGATATTGTCCACCCACTTCATCTCCATCTCTATCTCCAACTCCATTGTGTCAACATTCATTGATCTCCAAAGGTAGCCAAGGAAGGAATGTTGCTCTCCCACCCCCCTACCCCTCCACACCCATTATCTGTGACTCTCGTCGTCAGGAAAAGCCCCTGGATAATGTCCCCTCTCAATCTCTCTGCTAATTTGCTAGAACCACTTGTGTTCAAGCCAGACCCATTCATTCTGTTCCATTCCATCTTCACAACCACAATCCCTGAGCTAAACACTACGATTTTAACGATTAATTTCTAAATGTCCCTGTGTTAGTCGTGATGCTACACAACCCACCAAACACAACAAACAACACAGAAACTAAACACAACAGACAACGCAACAGAATAAAGCTAACACAACAGACAAGACAACAGACAACAACAAAACACAATGTAACAGCAGACAACGGTAGAGAACAAACACCATACCCTGCAACACACTGCAATAAACACACGCAGCTCAGCACCACGCAGCGCAGCAAAACCCAAAAGAATGCAACACAACATATCAACGCATCCCTCGAGGGGACGAAGAGTGACCAGGAAGGGTGGTTGAGGCCAGGACACTACACCTTGTTTAGGAAACAGCTGGACTATAATGGACAGACAAAGGTGAGATCAAAGGGGTCGAAGAGTCTTCATCACCCAAATCTCTCCTGTGATCTTCGTCACATCATTGCGCTTCCATACAACAGCTGTAAAAGTGGCTCCGTAAGGTGTGTATGTGTGTGTGTCGGTGTGGGGGGGGGGGGGGGGCTTGAAGGAAATGGAGGGAAAGTATCATGGTGTAAATTGTGCCATTTCACTCTTTGTGTAACTGTGTAGGATTGATGTCTGCCTGGACTCATACACTCTCTCACACTAATTGTCATGAATCAGACCTAACGGAAGGTTTCACAATGCTGACGGTTTTCAATATATTAAACAGAACAACTGTTCCTACTGATTGGCGAGTCAGTAGCGAGAGACTGTAAAAGGAAACCTTTCCTCAACAGATGAAAAGTTTGATCAGAAGCTGTTTGCTGAGCTGCTGGACTTACCACACATGGGTTCAGTCCACAATGTTTAAACGTGAAATGGATAATTATTAGAGAGGTGTGGTGCGAAAGCAGGGAATGGGGTTAGAGTAGAGAGCTCCAGCGAGGAGCGAGCACCAGCACAGACACGATGGGGAGAGAGAGAGGCAGGGAATGGGTTAGAGTAGAGAGCTCCAGTGGGGGAGTGATGGGGAAGCAGAGCGAGATAAACTCAGAGAAAGTCAGGCAGTATTAATGTATACAATTATAGTTAAGGTTCAGAACTGGTACTGCTATTGTATACTATGTATAAATATACACATGGCATTTATTTCAATTGAATTTCACTTGCCAAAACAGCAGCACAAATCATTTGCTGCATCGAGTGTGACATCCAGGTGACAGACCCACGCCACTGGGTTTATAGCTGGTCATTACCCTGTGGTGTCACACCGGGTATGAGAGTGCGCGGGTGCTTTACCTGGGTGATGTTGGACAGACCTATCAGATAGGAGACCACACAGACCCCCGCAATGAAGATTTCTCTTCTCCCTCGAAGCACACTCGGAAACTCGTCCACCAACGCAGTGATAAATCCTTCCACCGTACAGAACTGCAAATCACAGGGTAACGTTACCTCAGAGACGCTACATAAAACCGCCTCACTTCACAAAACATGTGGGGGGGGGGGGGGGGCGGCAGTGGAAACTCTCTCATTCTCTGTTTCAGTCTCTTTCTCTTTCCCTCTCTGATTTTCTATCTATCTCATTCTCTTACTCCCTGTTTCCCTCGCCCGCTGTCTGTCTTTCTCCATCTTCCTCTTTCTGTCTACCTCGCTCTCTTATTTTTTTTATATATGACCAGAACAGAAATAAAACACAATGACATCATTTACAAACAAAATATTGATCAAGTCTTAAATCAATTTAATTTTGGAGGCTGAATTTTTCCCCCACATTTAGATTTCTGAATTTTGACCAGAGGATTGCAACGATCTGCATTTTTGAGACAAGACGCTGGAGGCTGAGAGCAGAGAGATGTTAAAGCCTCGGGTGTTTGGAGCTGATAACCCGCTCAGTGTGTTGGTGTGAAGTGTGCTCGCTGTGTGATTACACTCTGCAATCTGTCAGCTCGGACGCAATCACTCAGTCATTTGACTGCTACTCACGCTTGCTCCATACCCAGTCCAGCCGACTCTGTCTTATCATTACTGATGGAAGATTCTTTATCAGTGCGGGGAGGGGGAGAGGGGAGTGTGATGGTACAAGCAGGAGCACCACCAGGGGCTAATCAGCCCAGTTACCCATGGCAACAACACACTGTCCAGTGCTGATGTGTGGCTGAGGGAAGGAAGAATTGATGCCTCGTCACGTTTCACTTCCTCGACAACAAAATTTGCAGAAATTCCTAAATTAACTGGCGAGATATAGACGGCCTGTCCT